CCTACTTGTCAATGTTCAACTCTGGCATGGCAATGAAATCTTTCATTGCATACACCACTGGATTTCTCATATCCAAACTACGGACATGAAGTCTACCTGGAAGCAAAATCATCTTACCCCTTCCACGCAACCATGCTGCACTGTATCCCTCCTCATTTCATAAATAAACAAGGCAAATACAGACTGGATTTGACTTCATAAAAAACTTACTTATTCTTTTTTCATCCAACATAGGACCAGGGGAGTCCATATTGAGAAGTGCTTCGGCAGCCTCAATTGTTTCCATTGTTTCATCTCCATTATGACAAGATGCTTCAACTAAAAGTAAGAGAAAATAACTAATTCTTGACAAGCTACAAACTGGACTTAAAGCTTAACATGATATTTATTCCTATTTCATTGCTAGGAAAAAAAAAAGCGGTATCCATGGTCTTCTACTAGATGAGTAGTAACGAGTTATCTGGGAAGGACATGCACACTGCAATCATGCCATTTATTTAATACACTACATTTTTCAGATTGTATGTATTAAAAAACCAAAACAAACCCAAAACCTTTGTTTCTGCCTCATCTTTCTAACCCCTCCCTTTGCTGATCAAGCACATGCAGTAAAACACAACAACCCTAAGAAATATTACTACCACAAACAACATTCTAGACAGTATCCTTTAAAAAAAAAAATCTGCTGATTTCTTCTTATGGTGGTCCAAAGGAAGTGAATTCCATAATCAAGAGATGCTCACCAAAAATATCCTGTCATTTAGCCTGGAGGACAGACAAGAAAATATTCCACAACTTCTATTAGAGAGCATATGATCTAAAGGTGTAACTGAATCCTAAACCATTCAAATCTGTGGGGATTATACATAGGGCTAACAGCACAAGCTCCAGGAACACATTGGAAAGCAAACATAAAACACGAAAAGCAATACAGAGGGCTGACAAACTTTTCAAAAGTTTTGACTCCTAGACAAGCCCTCATCAGTCTCATGAGGGTGGTCATTAGACAAATCCAAAGCTCTCGAGCATTAATTAATAATTAAGGTCATGTGAAGCTACACACCAAAAAAGTCCAATAAAATACCATTTCTTTCCTGATACCTAAAGCAGATTTGCAAAATATCAGCTGTCCGAGAAGATAATATCGGTTTGACTGGAGGAGTATCTTACCAGGGGATTTTTTTCAAAGTAATTGTAGCATGACAAACAAGTTGGATGTTAGTTCCAGTACCTGGTACTGTAAACCTTTAGAACTATTTAACACATTCCTTCAGAAATTACTCTTTGTTGGATGGAAATGCATGGGCTAGGCTTCCTTATCCTTTGCCACGAATTTGAAGCCACGTTGGGGAATTCGCTTGCATCTATCAAAGCAGTACAAAGGTCTGCGTTAATATTCCCCTCCCTAGGACACCAATGAACCTCAGTTACTTTCTCAGCCCAGTAGTGAGTCAGCTTCAAGCCCTCTCTCCCTGTTTAGCTTTCAGGAATTTTGGGTGGAGCAGTCACCAAAAAAAAAAAAAAAAAAAAAAAAAAAAAAGAGAGACTAACTGACAGGGCAAGCAAAAATGCATCATAAAACACAACACAATGATCTTGGAACATTTCTTCTTCACATAAAAGCAAGAGGTTTATGCCAGAAAGCAGAATTTCTATACTTAAAAAAAAAAAAAAAAATCACAGTAACAACAAAGCACCCAGCTCACTAGCACTAAACAATCACATAATTAAAAAAACAACCAACCAATCAACCAGTTTTACCCCAAATCTTTACAGCTTCAGCAATCATATCATTAGGAGAGGGCAAAGATGAATGCAGACGTTCACGCATCAGCCCTACCTCCTCCATCTAGCTGTGATTTACAGGCTCATGGAGCTCAGAAGCCTCCTTACCTTCTGGATTTTTTCTTGACCTTAGTCCTACCATGCCCCAAGTGTCAGAGGCTCACGCCCACACATTAGATTCAGGTGTTGGGAACACCTGACCCACACAGCAACTCACCCTGTTGTCTACAGGGCCCCTTCCACCCCTCATCTTGCACATTCAGCCAGTTCAGGACCTGTACCTTCCAGCTGACATCTTCAAACAGGCTTAAGAAAAGAGAAACGTGGAGTTGGGGAGGTGAACAGCGTGAAAAGAGACAAGGGGAGGTAGTGAGTATGAACTGCGGTCCTGGCTTAGGAAGCCATAGAGCGAGACGGGGCAGCAAACTGCTCACAATTTTGTTGTGCAGCTTGCAGGCTCAGGAGCTCAGTCACAGAGCGTCTCAGCCCCAAGAGCATCCCTAGGTAACGCCCGGCCAGCTGAGGAGGAGACTGAACCAAGTGCAGCCCATGCAGTCTGCAGGCATGCCCGTGCTTGGCCCAGCAGTGCTGACTTGATCACTTCTGGTTCTAAGTTTTAGTTGGATGGGAACTTTCCATATCATCGACCAGCATAACGAAGACCGCAATAAGGATGTCACCCTAAACAAAGGCACACAGGACTGCCAATACAGCTGTCAGCAGTTCTGACACTGTCTGAATGGACGGGAAGGTAACCTGCCATGATCCAGCTCAGCCAAAGCCATTGAGCAGCGCTGGTTTACGCTGTCACATACAATTTAAAAGCCAGCAGTGGTACCCTGTGGTGCTCAGTGCTGCAGGCGGGGAGGAGGGAGCAGCCACTGTTTG